AGAAGCCACTGGCGGCCATCCTGGTGGGCAAGGAAATCCCCTGGGTCATCCAAGCGGCACTGGGCGCATCGGGCTACGTCACGGTGGAAGACCTGGCGGATCGCTGGAACACCCCGGCTGCGGCCAGGGACAATGGTCCCCGGGACCTGGGATTCCAGGATGGAGAGAATGGATTCAACGCCCAGACCTCGGCCTTCACGGCAATGCGCCTCCTTCAGGCAGTACGGGTGGCAGCAAACTTGGTCAGGGGGGGCAACCAGGCGCATGGCCCGACAAAGGCTCCCTTAGAAGTCCTGTGTGACAGGCGCCAGCTGGAAGATGCTTACGTGGCCAAGAAGAAGAGGTGAGGAGCCACCCTACATCTCGGCGCCAGCTGGAACGATTGCACCTAACCTTCAGGACGACGCTCCTGATGTGCACGGCAGCACTGCCGCAATTTGGCAAGAGGGTCACCAAGGAGGAGTTGGATGACTGGCATGCCTGGTTGTATGGGGAGGACATAGCCGGCAGGAAACCTCCCCCGAGCGACACCACCTTGCTGTTTGCAGAGCGCAATGCATGGCGCAAGATTCACGAAATGGTGCACCAGGGCACCACTCTCTCCGAAGCCCTCAAGAACATCAGGGGCGACCAAGAAGGGGGGAAAAGGAGCAAGGGCGGCAAAGGGAAGTCCCCCAACACCTCCTCGACCCCATGGCCGGACCACTGGGCTTTCAAGAATCCCAAAGGGGTGGCGTACTGCAGGGATCATCACCTTCACAACAAATGCCCTGGATCATGCGGCCGATCCCACAACTGCCCGGTCAGGAAGGATGGGTGGGTGTGTGATGCCCCCCCAGCGAAGCATGTGCCACATTCATGCCCACACCTCCCCAAGTCACAAGAGGCCACTCAGGGTGCCATGGGCCCCGTGGTCTCCGAAGGGATCACAGGCCACCAGTGCGAGAGCGCACACAGCGGGGGAGAGCCAATCCCACCAGAGCCACAGCGGAAGGCAGACAGAGTTTGGGAGGCCAGGACGTGCGCAGGTGGGAGGGGACTTCTCCAGGGTTCCACCGGCCCCGAAACCCCCTCCACCGAAGAAAGGGAGTGGATCCAGCCAGGGCACTCCAGAAGGGCGGAAGCACCCTTTTCCCCCGCACCCACCGAGGCAGTGGGAAGAACCCCCAGAGAGACCCAGAGGTGGGGATCCGCCCGGCAAGGGGCGTTCCAAGGGCGGGCAGAACCGTCAGGGCAAGCAGCAAGCCCAGCGCCAGACGACCAGTGGGTCGGATAAAGGACACACGGAAACCCCAGGGGGGACAAGCCCCACCTTCCCCTGGATGCAAGACACCCCGGAAAGACTGAGGTCCAGACTAAGGTGGACGCCACGACCGGTGCCGGAGTCGTCGAAGCCGACCCTCATCCTGCTGCAGGCTGGGAAGGACGACGCGGGGGCCCTGGATGCCTACCTCCATGCCTACAACCCGGCCTTCTCGGAGTACATTTGGGCAGTGGACAGTAGGCGAAAGGGTGGCGATCTTGGACAGGACATGCTGGGAGACAAGCCATACTCTACAATGTGCTCCATGGCTAAGGTCGCCTTTGTGGGGGGCGGCCCCAACTGCAGAACGTGGAGCATTCTCAGATGGTTCCCCAAACCGGGAGGCCCGCCGCCGGTGAGGGGCAGGGCGGAGCAGACCCTGTGGGGGGAGGACCTGGAGCCCCGGGTAAGGGAGGACACGGACAACGACAGCGTGCTGATGCTCCGACAGATGTACCTGACCTCGCTGGCCTACCAAGGACTAGGTCAACGAACGGTCCCGCAGGTGGGCTCCTCCTTCCTGGAGCACCCGATGGACCCAATGGAGTGCAGCAACAGCCCGAGCGCAGCGAGGTGCTCATCGATCTGGGTCACACGGGCCTACATTCAATGGGCGAACGCACTCCACCACTCCCTCATCAAGTTTGACGAGTGCCGCCTGGGCCAGGTGGTAGTGAAGTCCACGACATTGTCAACGGACCTTCCCCTTCACCATTGGCATGATCTGCGATGCAACCACGGAGCTCACCCCAGGGGGGAAAAGCTCAACTCCAGTGACGTCAACCGGTACCCAGAGCAGATGATGCAGGGTCTCGCAGCGGCCATCCTCTGCAGAGCGGGACCCGTCCTGGAGGCGCTGAGGCCGGGGGGCACAGTGCCCCAAGTGAACCCAACGACCCCCCCGAGGCGGCAGAGAAAACCATCCCCGCACGCCGGGGGACAACAAGCGCCAGTCCCTGAGGCTGAAGGCCGGCCAACAAGCGTTGGCGGGACTAACCTTGGGCTCACGTCCGGTCTCGGCCTCAGACAATCCTGAGGTCCGGACACCAACACAGCCGGCGGGCAGGGAGGTCCCCTTCAGCCATGGGCACGCCATTGCATGGAGATCTCGGATCGGCCCACCACCCTGCCGATCACGCACGACCCAAATCTCTCCGACAAGGTTATGTACCTCCAGATGGCCTTCAAACAGCGCCCCCTCAGGGACGGGGGTGGGAAGCCCTCACTTAAACGGCTGGCCCCGTGGACTCGGCCATTGTCCAAAGCAGCAGCGATGGGGGGCCAAGATCTGTGTCCTCACCTCGCCATGGGGGGACAAACTCCAGGAGTCGCTCTCGTTGGGGGACGGGTCACACCCCTTCCCGGAGGACCTGCTGGAAGATATCAGGGAGATCCTGGCGCCAGGGGCAGGCCGACCAGCGGAAGGCCAACCCTTCTTCCTGGACATCTTGCACAGCCTGGCGCTGAACGTTCACCAGTTTCCTCAGGGTCTGGAACAAGGGGTCCCACTGGGGGTCACGGACCCACCCCTAGCCTCGCCGGGCATCTGGCCACTCAAGAAGGAGCTAAAAGGGGAGGAGCCGGAGTCTCCCTCATCCCACGGGCCGGGGTAACTACCCCTCAGCGGATCACTTCAGTGAGCTCATCCGTAGCACATTCCTGGAGGAGGTCCCCATGGGCATGGTAGATGGCCCTCTCACCAAGGTAGAGGCAGCAGCGCGCTGTGGCTGCAATATGGAGGATCTTTGCCCAGGCCCCCTAGCGGGCATCGACGAAGGGGACAAGATCCGCACCATCTACGATGGCTCGGTGGGCGGGGCCAATGACACCATCAGGAACCAGACGGTGGAAAGGACGACGGCTCCGACGGTGCTGGATGGGGTACAAGCTCTTCATTGGCTACATGCGGCAGCTGAGGAGGGACCTCCCTCTCAGGGTGCCCCCGGCCCCAAGAAGGAGGTCGCTAAACCTCCACCCGAGGGCTGGCAATGGCCGGAGCCGGGTGGGTGCTGCTCAAGGCGGACGTCACCAAGGCCCACCGGAGAGTGAAGGTCCTCAGGAAGGACTGGCGGTTCCAGGTGGCCTCACTGGGGGAAGAATGGTGGGTGAACAAGGTAGGCACATACGGCATGGCCAGTGCCCAATCCTACTGGGGACGCCTGGCAGCCCTTCTACTCAGGGTCCTCTACGCACTTTTCCCTCAAGTGGATTGGAACTTCGTCTTTGTGGATGACTTCCTGTGGCTGCTTCGCAGCGAGGGGGCAGTAAACTTGGCGGTGGCGCTGTTGGCAACACTCCTGGCCTTGGGCACCCCGCTTAGCTGGAAGAAGACACATTTGGCGGAGGTCAACACGTGGCTGGGCTTCGTGGTCCACCCGAACATCCCGCAGGTTCTCATGGCCGCCAACAAACACATCCTGGTGATGGAGGTCTTGCAGATCATGGTGGAAGGGCAGGCGATGCACTCAAAGGACATCGAGAAGGCCCTGGGCCGCATCCAATGGGCAACTGCTGCATGTCCGCTGGCGAAGTCGATGCTTCAGCCACTGTGGGCCTGGAAAATGGCCACCACCACGGTGGGGAAACCCCCTAAGGTGGTCAGGATGCTGGCGTTCATGCTGCGGTTCCTCTTCAACACGCCCTTCGTCCAGTACTCCCCTTACTTGCCGAAGTCCTCTTGGTGGGGTTGCAGCGATGCTAGCGCCTCGGATGAAGGACTGGCATTTGTGGGAGGCTGGTGCGCCAACAAAATGGAGCCGGAAAAGAAGGAGGTGTACTGGTTCCACGAGCAGATCCACGTGGAGGAGTACCCGTGGGCATTCAAGAATGGGGATCCCAAGCGGAGGATTGCGGCTCTGGAAATGCTGGGCACGCTCTTCCTCTGTAACATGATCCTCACGCACCAAGGCCCTCTGTCCTCCCGGGTCCGACTCCCGGTGGGCAGTGACAATCAGGGCAACGTCATGGCGATGCTCAACCTTGGATCCAAGAAGCCCTACACCGCGGCTATCCTGATGGAGCTGGTCTTCCTGCTCCACACCCATGGCTGCTCGCTGGCGGCCAACCACGTGCCCCGGGAATTCAACCAGTGGGCCGATGAGCTGACGCACCCAGATTTCTCTGGGTTCGACCCTTTGCACAGAGTCCCTAAACAGGAACTCTGCGAGGAGTTCATTTTTCTCCCGCGTCTCCTGAATGGAGATGCATTTGATCTTAGCGTGGGCCCACCCATGCTCCCGTGACCGGAGCCGGTGGGTGACTCACTTCCCCTGGTGGCAGACCCCCCTGTGGCCTGGGTGCCCCGGGCCCCGGCCCAGGGGCGGGCGCTATCAGTCTGCACACCCGTTTTTCAGTTTTTGAGAGTTTGTGGTGGGTGGCCCATGGGGCCCACCCAGCCGTAGACATCTGACAGGGGAAGATGAGTCCCTGGCACCAACACATTGCTTGGATAAAAGAGTTATCGCTTGCTTGCGTGGTGCCGTTTGGTTAGCTTACATTTATTTATTTATTTATTTATTTATTTATTTGTATTTATTTGTCTGTATGTGTACAATACACACACATATATACATATATACATATATATATACATATATAATATGTGTATACACACCTATTTCTATCAAAAAGCGGGGGCTTCCGTTGCGAGCGGTTCTCGGGGGGAACTCCGAAAGCAGTTCGATATGCACAGCCGCAGGTTCAGCAGCTGCTGCGGGAGGGCTTTGAGGGGGAGGCCTTCCACGCCTCGCTGGAGGTGAAGACCTCGGAGGCGTGGAGCTTCGAGACCGCGTTGAAAAATCCGTCGGTCGGCTTCCCGTTTTATTGGAAACCAAGCGAAAGGGGGAGGGCAACAAAACTGGGGTTGAAGTAAGGAACAAGACCAAGCGGATGTGTTGGTTGGGGTGGTTGAGGGAAATGTGGTGCTGCCGTTTTTCTTCTTCTGAAGTTCCCGAGGTTTGGAGACTGTACCAATCAGAGGAATCGCATAAAATCATGACATGAGCCGATTCCCCGACCGAAATCGGCCATTACGAGTTTGCTTTCTTGCCCTGAGACAGTTGCGGCTGACCTTCAAAGATTGTGAGGGGCAAGAGTTCGCCATTTGGTTGGAAAGCGGGCCGCGCATGGCTGTGAAACCTTTTTGATATTTTTTGATTCTTTTTCACATGCCGTTTGGCGGCCGGCTTTTGGGTGTGTTTCTCGTTTGGGCGCTGTTGCAATCCGGTCAGCTCCTCTTCTTTTTAAGCCAATATTTTGCAATATTTGCAAACCTGAAAGTGGATCGTCCGGTCATCTCGCTTTCCATACACTTGCTTGCAGATTGTGCACGTGCTGGTTTGATATGTTGATATTTCCAGATGCGACACATGCATATATGTTCTCTTCCTTTTCTTAGATCTTGACTCTTCTCCACATTCCAGATCTACATCAGCGACCTGATTGCCAGGAAGGTGTTTTTTGCTTTGCCAGACTCGGACCTTGTCGTCTCCTCTCACCCTTCGGGTCAAGACACACCGCTGGCCATTGCCATTGGCATTGCTTTCTAAAGATAGCTCGTGGGGCCCTGTGAGTGTGCAATCTCCGGTTCGCCTTCTGCTTTCATTTTGCTATGTTTGTTTGTGCTCTGTGCTGTTGTTTTGCCTTCCGCAAAATGTTCCTTTTACAAAAAAAACGTGCTGAGGTCTAAAACAATGACCATTCCGGCTGCTGTCAATCGGGCACGTAATGCGTGAACACAGTCAAGCTTTTGTGCTTGCAGAACCCCAGCTCGAAGTTTATCATGCTGTCAAAACTTTGGTGTTGTTCTTGTTGTTGTGCTGGTGCTGGTGCTGCTGCTGGTCTGGTGGTGGTGCTGCTGGTGCTGCTGGTGCTGCTGGTGCTGCTGGTGCTGGTGCTGGTGATGGTGGTGGTTGTTGGTTGTTGGTGTTGTTAGTGGTGGTTTCGGTGGTGGTTTTGGTGGTGTTGTTGGTGTTGGTGGCGGTGGTGTTGGTGTTGGTTGTGGTGGTGCTGGTGTTGTTGGCGTTTGCGGGGAAGAATAACGTAGGGACATGATGGTTCTAGAACACTTGGGGGGAGAGTGGCACCGACTGGCCTGGACCACTGTACTAACATGGTCCCAACCTGGAAGATGCTGTTTGGCTGTAGGTAGTTGCGCCCATGCTAAAATACTCAGATTAAGGATGACATGGGGCCTGGTGATGATAAGTTTGGAGTTCCCAAGCTGCCCCCCCCCACCCCCCCCCCCACCCCCCCCAAACAAACAGAAACAGAGATTCCTTTTCGACATTTCGGGTGGCAGATGTTGAGGATTTTTCTTTGCAACTTGCTGCACAGGAGGTGACCACCGAGAACTTGCTCAAGCGCGTGCTGCCCTTCTTCACCGTGGATGGATCAGAGGCGTACTCGGTGCAGTGGCTGCAGTCGCAGTACGCTACTTGATCCGCAAGCCGAGTTGACGTGCCGATTTCCTAGTTGCAGCTTCGCAAATCGAAAGGCCCACCTTGAAAAGGATGAACGTATAGGTATGCATGTGTGTTCAGGCAGAACTGCGGCGCGTCTTCGTTGCTTTTGTGTGCATGTGTGTTGTGCATGCTGCTTAGCCGAGGAGCAGCAGATCAGCGCTGCGAAGACGGGGACACGAAAATCCACCGCTGCACCCGCGTCCGAAGCCCCAATTTCAGCCACAAAAAGGGGGCCCCTTGGCGTGGATCATTGCAACGGCCCAGACAGGGTCAATGATTGGGGGGTTCCCATGCCAATGTGCCGGACGCAGCCTTGTTTCAGGATGATTGTGATGAATGGAGTTGCCAAGCAGTACCTGCACGTTGTTTGTTTTCCCTTGAATTTGCTGGGTGCATTCCCAGACATGGCTTTTCGCTGACTGTTTATGACTGTTTCGTTGAGTACATTTGAGTTTGCGGTGCTTCCTTTTGTACTTCCTTTCCTGAATCCCCAAGGCACCAGAGCAGACAGGCTTCTTGCTCAAAAGGAAAGGGTTTGTGCACTTCCATGCTTGTTGGTGGGAAGGTGAAGCCTTGCCGCATGATGCATACCTCTTGTAGCCAACAGGGTTGCAGGTCAAACTCGCCTGCCCAAAGATGATGACCAGACCTTTTTGGAAAATCCCAAAATCCCACAGGAATGAAATCAAGACGCCTGAGATCCGTTTGGGTGGCCAAGGACTATGTACGAGTTGTGTCACACATCCTTCAAGAGCGGCCGGGATGCCTTGAAGGCAGTGGCTGAACCTATGGGGGCCTGGAACTCAGAGTTGAGTGCCTGACCAGAGACGTAACACACATATGCACACACACATACATATATATATATATATGTGTGTGTGTTGTGTAACCACAATGAAAGGCCATGGCAAATTTACAATTTCCCCCACCGTGCGCAGAGGCCTGGAATTGGGCCTTCTTCACAGCCGGGACAGAGCTGACGGTGGTGGACGGGGGCATCGGCAGTGTCGATGAGATGCGCAAATGCCCCTTGGGCGGACGCGGGGAAGCAGGCCGTCTGAGGGCATCTTTGTCACTGTGGAGCTGGTGGCTGGCTTGTGCTGGATGCACTTGAAACTACTCTTGTGCGGTTTGAAGGTTCGATCGGAAGTGCTGGCAACCCGGGATAAGAAACGGACTGCTCCAAGCAACAGTCATAAAGTCCCCGCAGACATTCTTTGCTGATCCTGCAGGCAAGGGTCAATCGCTGCGCCATGAGCTCTTAATTAGACGGTGAAGCTTTCGAATTCCAAGCCACAACTAGTTTTTCAGATTTTGTCGAGGGAGGAGCTGCATGTGTAGTGGCAAGCTCCCACACATTCTCACACCAGCATAGGGCTTCCTGGTAATGCAAGGGCAAAAGCAGTAACCCCAAAGAGCAACACAGATGTTCACATTTGGAAGCATGCCGCTTGTTGCCGCTGTTTCGGGTCGCTTTTACTAGGCTACTTACTTTCTCACCAGTAACCGATACTAGGCTTCCTTCAGGAAGGCTGCTTCCTTCAAGTTTCATGCAGGCATTGGGATCAAGCAACGCCGATTGAGGGAGTCAGGTGAATGTTTTTTCTTCAGCGTTTCACCTGGTGCCACACCATAGGTTCCAGCACCCAGCGGCTTTGCAATGCCCGTGGGGTGTTCCAATTCAGGCTAGAGAACATGAGCGAGTGAGCCCTCCTGGACTCAGGCTATGAAGACCATCCTGGGGAAGTTCTCTTCGGCTTGCTACGGTTGGGCTTTGGCGAGGGCCGGCTGCGAAGGACGAAGTATGTGTTCATCCATGCCACTGGCGCTGCTTGGCAGAATCGAATTATTTCTCTTCGGTCTGACTTCACCTCTCCTTGCGATCCCGAAGCCTGACCTGGGAAGTAGATGGTCCTTCAGGCGGGCTCTACCTTCACTGTGTTCATGTTTGTTAGCTGGGGTCTTTGGCGCTTGAAAGCCTGTTTGGTCTGGGCAGTGCACGTTGAGGAGAAGGCACCATAACATGTGCATGCACTGGAATTTGCGTGTGCACTTGTACACTCATATCTATGTTGGCTTAATGATGCCCATGACAAAATCGGTTCCCCAGCGTCGCCTCTTTGTAGGTCTATCTTTTCTTATGGAAACTCTTTCAGGTTTTAAGAGCAAAATAAGAGGACCACCAAGATGCATTTCGGGGCGGGGGTAGAAATAGACAACACCCATGTGGACAGCGTGCTACGGCGCTCAGGAGAAGGTTGGAGCGGTGGCACGGGGCCGCCTAGCAGCTGAAAGGCCCAAGATGGAGGAGGTGCCAGTCATAGTTCTCCATGTGACATCAGAAGCACCACTGTATAACTTCATCCATATTCATATTGATGCGCAATTATGTACATATGTATCTCTACAGATATATTTACATGTGTACATCCATATAGTTACCTATTTTCCTTCTTGCGGTCGTGTGTTTGCATGCACGCATATTCTGGAAGGGGCAGGCTTGGTTGAAGGCTTGTGAGGTTACCTTTTCGTGCAAATACACATCTGCAAGATGAACATCCACACGTCTCCTTCCGCAAAGAGGTTGGCCAAGCAGTCACCCATCCAGCCACTGCTTTACCGTCGCCTCCCTGGAGACCAAACACCAGCAGCTTGCTGCACAGAAATTCTTTGGAGATGTGGTTGTGCCAATTTTCCGCAAAAGATGCTTGTTTGACATGAGACGCGTTTGGCACAGTTTGAAAGGAGGGAAGAACAGGCCTTTTTCCTGATGGCTCGCTCCCAGCTTCCCCCATCTTACCAGCCAGCCCAGTTGGGCTTTTGGGCAGTTGGCTGTGGCTCAAAAACTGGTACCAGAATGGAACCTTGGCAAGTGGAAACATGGACCAAAACCCGCGTAACCCTCCTGTTTAATTTTGAGCCACAGCCAGTTGGGCAGTTTGGGCTTTTGGGGCAGGTGCTGGGCAGCTGCGCCAGCATCTCCGCGACCATGGAGCTGATGCGCAGCTCTGACCTCACTCTCCAGGAGGTCATGGACCGGGTGCCCTCGTTTGCAAGAGACCCCCCAAAATGAATTCTCAAACCACCCCAGATGAGTTTGTTGAGGATTAGTTTCCCGCGGGTATATAGCTCCCTGCAGAATTAACCTTGTTAGTTCTCGGAGGGTCAATTTGGGCCGACAGGCTGAATCCTTTTGGCCACGTTTGACAGGCAGCAGCAAGTCTATTTGATCCTGGCCGCAGGTTTGGCAGTCCGCCTTGCGCGAGAGAGAGAGAGAGAGAGAGAGACAGCCACAGCGATGATGTTTGAGGTGAGACGTGCAGCGGTCGTGGATGATGATGTGCTGGACAGAGACCGGGGTACACCATCCGCATCCTGGCTACGGTTTAGCTTTATTTCTTGGTGAGATGAAGGTGCCGATGCTAGCCTAAGCTACGTGAATGCGTGAGCACTTGTCCCGCGAAGATTGCGAGCTGTGCCTTTTGATTTGGGCATTGAGCACGGTGTTGCAGCAGTTGAGGTTTTCTCAGTGGAAGCTTTTCAACGGGCGACTCGGCCAAGTCATGCCAGCAACTGCACAGGTCTGCAAGGTCTCTTGGAAGCCCATGCTGATAAATTCGCAACGGTGACTGGAGAGCTGCAGCCTCTGACGGTGTTGCAAAGCTTTGGGGCACCCGGGTTCATCGCCTCGGACACGTCAGCGCGCAACTGTAGAGCTGAGGCGCTCCAGGAAGAGAAGAAGGCCCGCATGGACGAGATACGAGCACAGCGAAGAAGCAGTGGCAGCTTGGAAAAGAGTGCATGGCTCGCAGTGGGCGCGACTGTGATTCCAGGGCTGGGCGCCCCATCGCTCACCCGATTGTTCTTTCAAAAAAGCTATGGAGACTGCCGAGGCTTCTTTTGCGGTGACGTGTTTGCCCAGATGGTTGTGCATGGCAATTTGCAGTGACCTCACAGCTTTCATGCCCTTGAGGGGGTCCATGAACCGAACGAGTCAGTTGCGGAAGCAAGCAAGCGGACAGTTGAGGTAGCGCTGCCTTGCCCATGGCGGAATGGTCGGAACGCTCTGTGGAGGAGGTGGTCTCTTTATTTCGCCGGGCTGATGGGCCGCTGAATTGGGTGCTTTTTGCGCCGGTGGCTGTGCTCAAATTTTGCACTGCCTTGGGAGAGCTGTGGCAGTTGTTCGATGGCCATCGCAAATATTGAGCAGGTTAGTTCTGTCCCTGTTTCGAAAATGGGGCCCGAACGGTTCTTGCTTTTGAAGCATGGTTTGCGTGGAAGTTGCACAGCCAATACGGAAGCTTATTTGCAGGGCGCACCAAGCGAAACATCTACCTGCCTCTCTGTGTCATGGCACTGTTGGCAAGTCACAAGGTCATAAATTCAAACCATATTCCACCCAGGCAAAACGTAAGACTCAATAGTGTAACACATCTTGTCATGAGCGGTTGATTCCGTGAGCCGTAGCTGCAGGTAGCCCTATACAATTGCAGCATAGATGTTGCGCTGATATCGTACATGTAACTAGAGGTGCGCCGGTGCCATATTGTTTAATCAACTATTTGAGGTCTCTATGGGTGTCACAGCACCGAAGCACGGCGTTGCCCAGGAAACCAACTGGCTGATCCGGCGTCGGACCATGCGCAGCACACAGGCCGGGAAGTTGACCCGTCAGAGTGGCCTGGCTTCTGGCGCTTTGCATGAAGGTTCGCCTTTGGGAGCGTCTAGCAATGGATGGTGCTGTAGCGAAGCCCTACACACACATACTTCAGGTTTGTTTGGAATGAGCGCAGCGCAACACCCTAGCTGGGTGCGTTCCAAATTATGAACTGGAGCTGCTTCTTGCTGTGCACTCGCTAGCCGCTTTGTTGTCGACACTCGTTTTTTAGAAACGCGTAGAGCTTGTGCATCTTTGTTGGTAGCGCTTGACACAAGAATTACTTGACCGCCACATTACTGCCTGCGCGGGGAGAAGTGCAAGAGGCTTGTTGCTGACTCGTCAGTGGAGTCATGAACAACTACACTACACGACAGCCGGGCACCGCTAAGGGCCCTAGCAGGTCCAAAATAAATTTTATCTCGCAGCTGTCGCCATGGCAGGCATCGCTGGTGCCAAGCCAAATCCTCACTCCTAGTGGCGGCTATTTGAAAGCTGTGCCTTGGATGATTGATTCTGAAGGCATTCCTTGCGGTGTGCGTACAAAGGACTTGGGCACTTAGCCCTGCATTGACCAGTGGTTGATTGGTCCAGATTGATGCTTCAAATCACGGCGACCATGACCCACGCTTGTGCAGTGCAGAACTCCAGGCTACATTCCTTCAAACATTGCGTTCAGTGGAGAATGCCTGAAGACTGCAACATTTCAATGCAATCGTTCAGTGCCAAGTTTATGTGCCAGGGGCGCTGGACCCTGCGTTTGCCAAGGCTTCAAGAAGTTCAAGCCGGGCAAGCACGCCCGTCAAGCAAAGGCCAGGCGACCAGGACGAAGTGACCGACCCAGCTGATGCTGCCACCAGCCTGCAAGGTCCAAGTGGGTGAATGGAAGGGGAGCTCCTGAAAGAAGCCAAAACGACCAAGCGCATCTTTCCCAATCCTTTTCTTCAGTATCCTACTCTCGCCTGTCTTACGGACGGAAAACTCAAGAGCCTTGACGTAGGCAATCTTGCGAGCAAGGGGCGTCATTGCCGGGTGTCTCAATAGATGGAGGACATGGTGCTGGAACTTTGGCTGGGTT